TCTAGACAAATGACTTTCATAAAGCTGTACTCTACAAGCGGTTAGTTAGAGTTGTTGGAGCAGAATTCAAAAGAAAAGCACAGAACTCTATGACGATTGTATAAAAACAGAAGTCAAACAGCCTTGCCTGATCTGAGATTTTCCAGTCAGACAATTCAGTTTTAATTAGCATCACTACTGAGATAAAATCTTTGTGAAGTCTGCAGGGCCTGACACTGACTGAGCAAATACATTTGACAGTAATGTTAAGGGCTGGCTATTTAAATCCTCTGTGAATAGCCCCCTGTACATCCTGCTTGTTAGCTGTGTTCTGAAATTTTCAAGACAGGCCTTGTGATGGACAAGTGACTGATATGCCCTTGCGTTTGACAGTATTATACTTTTAAGCCAGCAAGATGTATTATTAGACAGAAAAATAGCTAATACTTGTTCCAACAAACCATTTCATCACCAGCTTTAGGCACTGGTAGAGCAAAGGTGTTCTACAACTCTACCTCTTCCAAACAGGAAATATCCTCCTCAATTACTGTTTTGCTCACCATCTGAAATGGGAAGCTCACGATGAAGAACTATCTAAATAAAAATGCCATCTCTAACATTCAGAGGCATAATGGTATGTTAAATTTGGAAACTACCTACATTTGAAAAAATAACAAAACTTATTATGAGTAAAATATGAAGGGCACCATTGCCGAGTTCTCCTGAAATGATAATTGCTTGAATATTATGCTGACCTACTAGTTCAGGTCTACAAGCATATCTACAAATTCCTTTGATCATAAAGACCCTTGAAAACCTCTCATGGTGCTTTGAATACTTTTGGTATAGGACCTTATTCATTAAAACATTTTTATTTTAAAAACATTTCTGTCACTTGGTTCAAAAGATGTTACAAAGCAGGACCAGCAAAACAAACAGCTTTATCCTCACTTGTCCCACCACCTATTCCTCCATCTTTGCTCTATTTAATAGTTCGGTCCTATGAAGAACCTTCATCCTGGGCACCACACTCTATGGTTCTTTTCACTGAAACCCAGGGCCATCTATTTAATGAGGCAGCCTGAGGCTGTTGGCTCAGACGGCAGCTCTTTGGATCACGTGGGAGGCAGCAGGCAGAGCAGCACGGTCGCTCTGCTATCTAATGTTTGCAGTGTGCCTGCCGCCCCCTTTCTGAGCAGAGCGTCCCAGGTTGCAAAGAGCGATGGGCCATGCACATCTCCCCACTCAGCTCTTAGCAACCTGGGATGCTCTGGCTGTCCTTCGGCCCAGCTCCTGGCCACCAGTAATGTCACTGGTGGCCAGGAGCTGGAGGGGATGTCGGGGAGGAGGGTGGCATCACTAAACCAACACCACCACCCTCCCCCATGCCTGGCGGCACAAATGCCAGGGTGACACCGACTGAACCCTACGTCACTACAGGCCGGTGGAAGGAACCACAGAGAGGAGTACAGGCCAGGTATCAGACACACCCAGAGGTGTGAAGGGGCCGCTGCTCTACAAGAGAGCAAAGAACAGAGGAACAGGCAGTGGTACAGGTGAGTATAAAGCCTCTTCTTTTGCAAGTCTTGCTTTGTTACATCCTTTCAACCAACCAACTCAGAGTAACTATAAGTGCTTATTCTTACATGCAATAACCCATAGTAACCAATCAGGATTTACTCTGCTGAGGTGAAACTGTCACAATAAAGATTCTGATTCGTCACTATAGGATATAGTACTTTTCAGACCATGTTTTATAGTACACCTATATTTAGGGTGTAACATGAAACATGGTCACACCCCCCACCCG